CATCCAGTTTGTAGATACCTTCCCCTGTTTCTTTGTAGTTTATAGAAAATGCAATAAAAAATCCCCTATGGGGAGCTAAAAAAAGAAAGATGAGGGGCTCCCACAGAGAAGGCCCCGTCTCTGGTTACTGCCTACCTAACCTTGGAAGGTGGGGGGGGGGTCACAGACTGGGGGGCTTCCAAACAAACTCTCAATTGACAAGCAGGTTTCTAGGCAAGGGGTATAGTCCTTCCAACACCCTGAAAGTAGGAGCTGGCAGTAGAACCAGGAGACAATGGTTCGAGTAAGTATGACCTCGAGAGAATCATAAGCATCATATAGCAACAGTGCCCTTTGGGAATTGCAGGAGAGGGAACTGAAGGGCAAAGGCTGCCAGCTTGAAACATCCATCTAGGCTTGAGTGTTTCTTTCTCTCCTGCTGCAGGTATTTGAAGCCTGGATGTGGCCACTGAGATGCAAACAGAAGAGTAAGAACTGAGAGGCTCTTAGCCTGTGGCCTTGTTTGGATGGATCACCAGTGGAGACAAACCCAGGAAGCCTTGTCTACTCTTTAAATTGTTTTATGTAAGTTTGTTTCGAATGTGCACTTTTTGTAAACTGCTTTTGGTCCTCATTAGAGAAAAAAGCAGGATAAAAATAAATGATAAAATTTGCATATCGATTTTCAAGGTCAAGTATAAATTGAATAAAATAAATAAATAAATAAATTTTGGATTTCCCCCCCGTTTTCCTTTTTCGAAAGAGGCAGGTTGAAGGAAACAAAGTTTAGGGGAACCAAGGAACAAAAAAGGATTCAGGGCACTGCCCAAGGAAGCTTCAACCACTATCTTTCATTCTGCAGCCACCTAGTTATTGGCCGGAAAACTACCAATTTTGGGCAGCTGGTGAGCTTTGCAGACTTTCCTGGTAGAATTGCTAACGAGGCAATAACATGCTCTCTTGTCTAGTAACAGGGTCTGAAAAGCCAGCCATTCTTGTCCATGCTAGATTGCAAACTCTTTAAGAGACAGTGACCTGTGTTTCTTGCTTCCATTGCAGTGCAAAATACCACTCACGCCAATACTATCGTGATTCTTGTCAAAAAAAGGTATGCTACAAATTGAGTTCACTTTGCTTTTGCATGGCCCATTTTCCCCTCGGATCGTGCATGGCCTCCTTTCAGTTTTGTTCACAATTTAAAAATAAGCAGCATATTAAGCATGTCTGTGCCCGTGCCGTTCATGGCATCCATCAACACATGACAGATGAGGCCAGCAGCCCCTCTTGGCATCAGCTATTACTGCACTGGTGGGTTTGGTGAGAATCGTAGTTTCCTTGGACTTCCCCGTGGCAATTTGGGAAATTGTTAGCCTGACTTCCTGCCAGGATTTTTTTTCTTTGCAAAGAATAATTTACGGGAAAGGCAGCCCCTGGTTGGGCCAGTCTTCAGTTTAAACCCCTTTCCCATGTTAGTTTTCTTCCACATACACGCACGTAACTTGGAGGGTCAATGTTTGTGGCTTGCAGGGGAAACTGGAAAAGAGCAGAGGGTGACGGCAGGCAATCGCTTTCAGTGAGCATCCTAAACACGAACACAAATGAGTGCCTACAGAGAAGATCGTGAAGATGAATTTTGGGTCGAGGATGGACATGTTTGGATACCACTAGCATTGCACAAATAATGAATAAAATTCAAGTGCAATAGCACCGTAAATACCAACAAAATTTCCCAGGGTATATGAGTCAAAGCTAGGGTTGCCAGCCTTCAGGTTGCATGATTTTTGCAAATGTCTCTAGGCTTTATAAATGTTTTGTCAATGTATATTTCAGTTCACAAGGCTAGCAGGGAGAAGGGACATGCCCCGAAATGCGTCCTAGCCTGAGTGACACGATTCAACAAGCAAATCCTTAAAATGCACAAGATTCAACAAGAAAACCCTTAAAATGGACTTCATAGACATTGGCAATTCATGTTTTTTCAAAGTTTGGGAGATTCTTGTTTAAATTTTCAGTCAAATTCCTATGAGAATAGTGTAACCTTTGGAGTCTTTTCATGTGTATGACTTTAAAGAAAATTTCAAAAGTATAAACAAGTAATAGTTCTCAGTTATATATGTCACGGTTGTATTTTGTCTTATTTTTAACAATTCTTCCCGTGAACTCCTTTTGTTGCTAGCCTTCAGGTTGTAGCTGGAGACCTTCTGGGATTACAGCTGACCTCCAGGTGAGAGATCAGTTCCCCTGGAGAAAATGGCTGCCTTGGAAGGCTGGTTCTATGGCATTATACTCTATTGAAGCCCTCCCCCTCCCCATGTCCCACCCTTCCAGACTCCAACCCCCAAATACCCAGGATCTGGCAACCCTAGCAAAGCTCACTTCTCTCAGATATGTGGTCTTTTAAGGTGCTACTGGACTTGAATTTTATTCTACTACTACGTGGCTACCCAGCTGAAACTATAAACAATCAATATATAAGTTTGGCCGAGAATGGAGTGTGTGTGTGTGGGGGGGTGAATAATGCCATCTGATTATTGCACACTTGGAAATCCCCCCCTCCCGGTTTCACTTTTGTCGCCTGGGATTTGATACTAAATTTGATTTCATTAGAAAAGAAGAATTTCTTCAAGGTTTCAAGCTGCATGAAACCAAAACGATCCTTGTCCAGCAGAGTACTTAGCTTCCTTCACATCATACACTGCAATACTTCAGCTACCACATTGCAAAATGGAGTATTTTTTACACCACTTGTACCATTCAAGATTCCTGAATATTCATGTTTTGCAAAACAAAACAAAAAACTCTTAATGTTCTTCCAGAGACCCATCACAAAACATTTCCTGGGAATTTGAGGTTAAGCTGGATGCAGATGCATCTTCAGTTTTCCCCACTGGACTCTGATGCAGTTGTGGGAAAAGGTTCTATCCAAGACGTGGAACCAGCAGTTCTGTTACCTGTTACCAAGGCCAGGAATATCTGAGGCAGCTTCAAAAGCTTTACCAATCCCTTTCTTTGTATTACGAAGGAAGCGTCTCACACCAAAGGCATATTAAGCAGCCCATTTTCAGAAGTCTGTGCAACCATCCAAAGTTACCAAAGCTAAAACTCTTTTAAAGAAAAAGAAACACAAGCTGGCTGACTGAGAATTCCAAGACAGTTCTATAATGAGTTGAATCACTTATTTTACGCTCATCTGAGTCCATTCCTTTTGAGATTGGAGAAGTTCCAGGTTTCAAGGAACTTTGAGCTCACTCTAGCTTCAGAAAACAAAGTCAGCAGAGTATGAATTGATCTGGCACTCCAGAGGAGCTACCTGCCTTCAGACGCAACAGCCAGCCACGAGCCACTCACGCGGGACTGCTGCTTTCCACTCGAGGTGCAGAGACCCAGGGCAGTCCGGGGGCCGATACAATGGAGGCTACCTGCCCTTGGAGAAACACAGAGGGGCGAGTTTCTCTGACTGCAGCTCATCCTCTTTTGTATAGCAGAAGATTTCTGGATGTAGAAATGAAGACTACCTCCAATTTTAACCCAAGAAAAAGAAAAGTACCCTGGGTTATCTTGAGTTTGCGAAAAAGGGATAAAGTGTCAGAAAAGACAAGAGAGAATCCAGGTTCAAACCTTTCTTTGGCCATTTACCAGTTAACTTGGACAACCATTATCTACCTAACAGGATTTGCTATGGGGACGATGCGGAATTCCCCCCAACCCAGTACACTCTAGCCTCACTGAAGGAAAGGTGGGATACAAGCACAAGGGGGATGGAGGTGGGGTATGCAAAGACCATGCCTTGGCCTGGGGGAAGCCCCCTAATTCATTATTTCAGTACCAGAAACCTTGTACAAGTTTTTTTTTTAACTGGAGTGTAGGTATGTAAGCCATCCTGAGTTGGAGAAAGCACAACAAACCTTCTGGTTTAATGTAAAGTGCCATTTATTTTATCTCCCCATGATGAAAATATTGAGTTTTTTTCCTTTAAAAAAAATTGCACCATCAAAATGCTTAACACATTCTCTTTAAACTCTCCCCAACACACACACACAAAGAAAAAACCCTAAAGCGCAAAAAACAAAAGAAAGCAAGGAACATATCCAACCCCCCCTTTTAAACTGTAGAACATCCTACTAAATATTCTTTTAATTTAAACAGAGTCAGAGAAACATAAAATAACCCCCCACACATACCCCCAACAAAAGCCTCACTTTTCATATGTTATGTCCAAAGCAACAACAACAAAAAGTACAGTAATTAGATCGCATGATCCCACTGGTTCATTGACAACTTTTAACTCAAACACTGAATATTATACATTCAAAATCCTCAGGAGTTACTCAGTTCGATAGATTGCAACTGCACCCCTATGGGGAGGGGAGAGAAAATTATGAACGGTCAAAAAATCAGATGCTGCCCACAAAAAATGCAGTTGCGGACTGCATTTCAAATTGGCAAAAAGTCTGCCAAAAAGGCTCCCCACCACCACCTCCTCCCATAAATTGCCAGTCAAGATTCGCCCAAGGAAATTTCACCCCGTTTTCCCCTGCTGGACCCCCAACAGGATTGGGAAATTGTTCTCGATATCCTTCGGAAAAGAGAGAGACCTGCAAAAACTCTTCCCAACCCCCCCCCCCCCGGCCCCTCAGCGTCTAGACAAAAGACAGCAGAGACCCGTCCTAGGGCGCCGTGGGAATCGTGTCAAACCGAGTAACTCCAAGGTTAAAAAATTAAAGGCCTTCAAATGTTTTCTTTAAAAGATGATCATGGTTGAGCCACTTGTACTATATAAAGGAAACAGAAAAAGCACGGTTCATTACGTTTTATTTTCTTCCAACACCCACAGATCAGCAGCATAAAAAGGGACTTAACAAAGGGGAACAGATTTCCCTCCCTTGCCCCAAATATCACCTCCTCAACATTTCCCCCTGGAAACTGCCCTTTTGTCGAAGGTGATGGATCCGTAACCGCACAGATTTAAAGGTTCTGCCTGTTCCCAGCCTCTCAGCTCCTAGGAAACAGCAAGCGGGGGGGGGGGGGGGGGAGGTGATGAGCTAAGGAAAAACAGAGTGGGTAGGTGGCCTGCAATGTCCCCAAAATTGAGGCCCACTCCAGAAAACTCGGGGAAAGGAGCCACTCCCCAACTTCCTCCTAGCTTCAGCTGAACCACAGTCTTCATTTTAACTTGGGGCTTGCTCAACACTCCCCCCTCCTCCTCCTGTAAGAGATTCAGAGGAAAAGAAAAGGTGTGCAGGCTTCTCGGCATAAGAGACCGAGCTGCGCTTCTTACATTTGGCAGCAAGGGACAGTGAGGGCTCCATCACCAGTCTTCAGCAGACCGGGCCTCGACCAGGGTCACACAGCTCGATCCACACTGTTATCCCCGAGCTAAAGGCCATCCTGTGGCTACCTCACTGCAGAATACGTTCCGTGGGTGAGACTAAATTAACAAAGCTGGGGAGGGGGGTCCACAAGCTTCCATTTAGTTATTACCACCCCCCACACCTTTGGGAAATGCACTGTGAAAATATGGGGGGGGGGGGAGAAGAGCTGGAGAAAGGAGAGAGCCTCTGGCAAACACATTCGAGATTTCTGCCTAGGGGGAGATGCTGGCTGGCACCTCCCCCATACATAGACCCCTCCCACCGGGAGACAAAGCTGACTTGTCAGGTTTCTTTTGGTCAAGTTGTAAGGTTTGGGAGCCAAGATGGCCGGCTGCGCCAAGTACAGGTGTAGAGACACCCGTGGGCTTTCCCGCCTTCTGAAGGAAGCGGCTGCTGAGCCAGGCCTGCAAGACGGCTCTGTGAGTCACGGGACAACCATTTCTCTTCGCAAGATGCTTCACGTAGGCATCCCCCAAGCCGGTTTCTTAACTAGAGGAGGAACAGGCAGAGACAAGCGTTCGTCGCTGCCGCACACCGTAAAAGCTGTCAATACACTTGGGACTCCTGTGGATGCCTTTGCCTACGAGAGTGTGACGCACCTCGCCACGAGGGGCACCCCGTTTGCAGTTCGTATCTGATACACTCACCTCCAAGGAACGCAGGCCACAGTGAGCAACTTGATGTCCTGACAACTGTGCTGTGGCCATTTCAAAGGACGACCCCCCCAAAAAAAGGACCCGCTAAGCCACCTGGTCGTGGCTTCCTTTTACTTACTGGACTAAGAGTGGCCAACTGAGTGGCATTTTCTGGCTATTCTTCTCCAACAATGGAACCAGCTGGCTGTTTTTTTTTAGCATGCCAAAAAAAAGGAACAAGGTAAAAACATTCCGTATCAGAATACTTCAAGAAATCCATTCGGAATTTTTTTTTTTTTAATTGAAATGGGCAGGGGAGAGTGCACGGGGTCTTACCAACATCCCTTCCCAAGAAGCCACTACTGGGCATCAAACCGTAACCAAGGATGGTCAAAGGGGAGAAAAAGAACAGTTGTAATGAAGTTGGATCAACTCCAAGCAGGCTCAGGGAGTTTGGGGGTGGGGAGAGAGATGAAACACCAACCATCACTGAAGTCTGCCACAATCAAAAGCCACGAATGGCTCCTCGCCTGGGCGTCCCCCACCCCTCTAAAAATAACGCTTGCAAAAGACTTTCCCATCTGCTTCGGCTTCTGCCGAGGTTATGTCTTCTCTGAGTTGTGGAGCATCGTGGCTTGAGAGATGGACCTGGAGCATTAGGGGGCAGCACGAATGCATCGTGAACGCATTGCACACGCTTGGGAGGCGCAGCAGCAGCACACAGAAAGGCAGGAACAGACCGACGTCTGAACGGATCAGGAGATGCTGCTCCAAGGCAGAGCTGCCATGCCCACAGGCAGGACACACTGACCGCACATTGCTTTTCAGAGAGAAGGCAAGATCGCCGTTGCAGGTGTGGGGTGGGGCAGAATTTGCAGCAGAGATTCTCTTCCTTGTTCAACTACCCAAAAAAAGGAATTCTGACTCAGCATGTTCCCCCTTTCTGTTTAATAAACTAGCGGTCTGCGTGATTTCAGAAAGGCGGCACTACGACACAGCGTGCCGGGCAGGCAAGAACAGGAAGGAAATGCAGTTTTGAGGCAGTACCATGTGCGCCCCCCCACCCCGCAGACGACAGGAAAATAACCACAGTTCCCAGAATGTGGGGTGGGGGGGAGAGGAGAGGATAGGAAAGTGGTACCTTCGCCCTCAAGCAGACTCCCCCCCCCCAAATAACAAGTGAAATTGAAGTCCCACTTCCGTGTAAGAAACTGAGAGTAAAAAAAAAGAAAAAAGAAACACAGGAGGAGGAGAGGGAGGCAGCTCACTGCTCACCCACCAAGCAGAGAAACATCACCCACAGACTTCCTTAATCTCTCCCCCGCCCTTTCCCTGGGCAGGATCCAGGAAGCAACCAGGCTCGAGTCTCCCTTTCCCCTGCCAATGCAGATCAAACAGCCACAGTTTGGTAATCAGCCCACCTTTGCCCTAGCTGCTCCTTTCGTGAAGGCTTCCACCCGTCTGATAGCTTCCACCCATCCTCGGGCCCACTACCCCTCCCCCGTCCAAAAAGAGAACAGGTGCACAAACAGGGCACAAACAGGCTTGCCCTGATGACCCCCCCCCCAAATACCTGGTGACACAACCCAATGAGAAGCAGCAGAACTTTTAGAGCAACCCGTCCCCCAAGTCAGAGGGCTCCGAGCACGGCATTCAGCCTGGAAAAAAGAAAGTGAGCGATAAAACGGGGATGGAACGGAGCAAGCTGGTCTCCGCTTTTTGCTGTCGGAGGACTGGGCCGTTTTCCAAAACAACGGGTGCTTTGCCGTTCCGGAGCGCAGAGAAGACGGACAAAGCAGGGCAGTTCTTTCTTCTGCTGAAGGGCAGTGAACTACGGCAGAGAAGCAGGTGCAAAAAGGGAGGGGGGGAGGAAGAAGATCAAGGCCGTTGGCTTGGCGGTCACATGGCAGTGCGGGTGGGGGTGCTGGGCTGGTTCAGTCGCAGCGTCTTACAAAGCCAGCCTGCAAAATCCACCTCTTCCACCTCGGAGCGCTTGATGAAGGTGTGATTCTGAAAGTACGGGAGAAGAGAGGGCGGTGTTAAACAGGGCCAAGAACATCCTGCCCCCCAAACGGTCCCCAGGGGAATAGATAAGGTATTACATGACAGAGGATAGCTGCAGGGCAGGAGAAATGGGGCTTGACTGAGCACCCAAAACTCCTGGAACCCTCCCCGCTGCTTTGAGAAGCAGGCATGTCGCGGGATCTTCCTGTATGGCTGCAAAGCTCAAAGGGCTCACAATGCCGCTCTGTTTAAAGAAAGACCTACTGGTTTCTTGGGCACAACCAGCCACCCCCCAGCTTTCAATTTCAGACTCTCCTAGAGTTATTGCTCGACTGTGTATGTGGTCAAATGGACCGAGGGTCCATGCTGGCAACAGATAGCTTTGTAAGGCAGATGCTTTCATTGGAGGGCAGGCCTCCTGCAGAAACCCTCCCCCCCCAAAAAGGGGGGGGGGAGAACAGGAATTGCATACTGGCCCAGCATGGGCCTCAAGAATGGGATGGGGAACAGGAATCCTGAACGGAGGAGGGCATCTCTACTGACCACCCCCCCCCTTCCGACACAGGAGAGGTTGCACAGGATGCCCAGAGGCAGCCCCCCCCCCCTGTAACGCTAAGCACTGTCCAAAGACAGCCCACCTTGAGATGCCAAAAGGGGGGGGAGGGCAGATGACAAACCAAAACTCGATCACACAGCGGAAGACCTCTTCTTTTGCTTCCAAGCAGAACGAGAGAAGCTACTGCCTGAAGTTATGCTGGGAGAGAAGACCCAGGGCTCCTGGGGGGGGGGGGAGAGGAGGCATTCTTCATTTTGACTCCCACATATCAACCCTCCCCACCACCTCCTAGAGCATGCCTTTCCATAACCCCCCAAGGTAGCTGTCATCCCCTCATTCAGATCCCGGAGAGGGATCAAGTATCTGCAGTTGTAGGAGAACACAGGTTTCCACAAACAGCATCTTGACACTCTTACCTGCATGTGTGTGTGTGTGTGTGTGATACATTGTTTGCAAAACAAAAACCAAAACCCTCAGGCATGCTTTCCAGAAACAAATGACATTGGCTAGGGGTGAAACACACACACCTCACAAACAATCCACCCCCCACCCCAATTATGAACAGATTGGATCTTCCAGGACTTAAAAACTGGTACAGAACGGCCTCAGCACTGTCAGCAGCTGTCCAACCAATCTGGCGACATTCAGAACTGTTGGCAGCTCAGGGAAAAACAAAATGCCACGGTTGGGCTACAGACAAGTTCCACTCAGACTCAAAACCGGCTGCAGCAGAGAGAAGATTTAGGATGGCTTTCTTTCACGCTGCTCAGTTTGCCCCCAAGGGTACATGGAAGAGCTGCAAGAAACAGCTCCCCGGTGAGCATACATGCATCATAAAGCATGTGCCACAGCATAACAGCCACCGCTTTAGATGTGCGCCTAAAAAAATCCAGGTAATGCAACAAATGGCCCTGAGGTTCCTTTAAAAAAAAAAAAGTATGTAGTCTACTTTTAAAATTTGTGGGGCAGGACATGCTGAAATCCCAGAGACTGCTAAGTAGGACTTCTGCTGTCCCGTTTAGAGCTCCTTGCATTCTCCCCACCACCTAAACCGGCAAAACAGAGTTATGAAATTTGAGAACAGATATTCAGGCGGAAGGATTCTGCTTTTCCCCTTTAAGTTTTAATGTTGGCCTGGAGTCTGTACCAGCTCCAAACGCCTTAGCCACTCACCATCAGCATCTTCAGATCTGCCCGTTCAGCATCAGGGTTTTTAATTAAGCTGGAGGAGCAGGGGGGGAAGGAAAAGTTTATTGTTACTTTTTTTCATTAAAAGGCAAGAAGGTTCATTAATGGCTGCCGCTTGCAAAGGCCCCTCCCCACATACACTCTGGCTGGACAGTTGGGAGCGGCACAAGCAGCTGAGTAGGATCCAACAGACACGTAGTCGTATGGGGTTCATGGGGTCACATTGCCCAGCTTTGAATCCACAAGGGTTAAGCTGACACTAAATATTATAAACGTACAAAATTTATTCAGGTGTACACATTTTTAACAACTTGGACTCATTAAAAATATTCACATTCAGACATAAAAAACTTCTCAACATTCATACATAGATGGGTTAGTGCTGTGCAACTGAACCAAACGCGTTTCGGCCCCAAAGGGCCTTCCTCAGTGGTCACAATCCAAAATACGTGAGTTGAATGTATGTCACGCCATCCTGTACAAATTCTGGTCACACAAGTCTATGCTACCAGAAGTATTGGGGGACTTTATTTGGCTATACCTGAGGCCTATCATATACAACAATAACATACATATAATATATATAAGGATACAACATCTGGCCTTATACTGCATATGTATTTAATATCTTATGCAAAAAAATTTTTTTTGAATGTATGTCAAGTTTGTATTTTGGATTGTGACCACTGAGGAAGGCCCTTTGGGGCCAAAACGCGTTTGGTTCAGTTGCACAGCACTAACCCATCTATGTATGAATGTTGAGGCGTTTTTTATGTCTGAATGTGAATATTTTTAATGAGT